GGAACACAAGCAGGGGGAGTGGGAGAGGGAGAAGCAGGCTTCCCACTGAGCAGGGAGCCTGATACGGGGCTCGATCCCAGGACCCTGGGATCGTGACCTGAGCCGAAGGCAGATGCTTAACGACTGAGCCACCCAGGCGCCCCTTTGCTGTGCTTTTGATTGGGACTGCATTGAATCTATAGATCAAGTTGGGAAGAACTGACATCTTTACAATATTGAGCCTTCCTGTTCATGAACATGGAATATCTCCCATTTATTTAGTTCTTATTTGTATCAGAGTCTTACAGCTTTCCTCATATGGGTCTTGTACATATTTTGTTAGATTTATACCTAAGTAGTATTTCATTGTTTTGACTGCTAATGTAAACTCTCTGCTTTTTAATCTTTTTCCATTGACAGTCCTACTTTCGTCCTTTCTGTAGTGATGCCCTCGTCCTAGGCTCATGCACCTGCTCTGAAAGTAGAGATCCCTATGGAAAGAGTAATCCAGTGGCATGAGGAGGTGTGTACGGGATCTGTCAGCTTTCAGAGTGGCCCAAAGAGAGGACTTTAATGGGGAACATGTTTCCTTTAATTAAAATGAAGTTTCTTTGATGATATTTAGAATATAATAGCAGCCTAAGCATGATGAGATACCTCCTCCCAACCTCCCTACCTTCAAATAGGAACAAATGGTTTTTGTTTTTTTAAAGATTGCCTAGGAGAGGATTATTTGAACTTAAGGTGGTGTCTAATGAGATCACCTGTCTTCCCTTTTAAACTCAGATGGACTTGCTAAGTTAGTGTGAGGGTCCCTGAAGTGCAGAGTCTTGGATTCTGACCCCAGAGCTGCTTGTTAGAGACTTCATGATCTTCAGACTGTTCTTAAGGAATTCCTTCACTTGAAGTCCTCTGTAGCTGCAGAAGTGATGGCTCCAAGTCAGGGTGGCTTTCATCGGTCAGCTTTGGTCAGAGGATTTGGGCAGGGAGCAAGGGGTAACTGCTTAGTGACTATTTTATCCTTTTTGTACATAGAATTCAGGAGAAGCTCATTAAACGAATTCATGTTCAGTAATAGAGAATTGGTCTTCTCTGTTAATTTCCCTTGAAGTATATAAAACCAAAGAAGAAAAATGTTTGCAGAGGGAAGGGCAGGGAACCTTGACATTTTAGATCCTCAGATCTGAAATTAGTTTTCAGTTTCAAGAATGAAAGCTGATTACTTAATGTGGTATGCTTGTAATGTTATGTTTTATGTATTATTAATATATTGGGCAGCTGTTGGACACCTGCTGTTTCCAGGGCACTGCTGGTCGTGGTGGATGATGGGTAAAGCAGATGGGTTCGGTCTTAGCCTCCTGAAGCTCACTAATTTAATGGGGGAGTCAGTATTTATAATTTACATAAGTCATTATTTTAGTTGTGTTAAGTCTACAAAGGAAAGAAATGGGATGCCAGGAAAGCTTACTTTCTTCCCCTGACTCTTCATCTGATGGCTTGTGTGAGCAGCTCTCATTTCAGATGGAAGCCTTGACTGCCCACACTAATGTGGGCACAGAGCCTCCCTGCCCATACTTCCATATCTCTTCTCCCCCTCCTTTCTTGGACTTTGTCTTTACAACTTGAACTAAGTGTTCTTCATTTAACCTGTTTCCTGTCTTACCACTCTTCCCAGGAGTGTTTAAGCATATGCCCTCAAACTCTCTGTCTCTCTAAGTGTGTAGAAGGTATCTGGTACAAAGGAATCTAGAACCTGAAGAACAATCTTATGAGTGGGCCAGTTCCTTCATTTTCAGATGAAGGTGAGGACAAAGGAAGAGAGGGACCACACCCACAGTCACATAGCAAGTTAGAGCCAGAGCCAAAACTAACCCAGGTCTTTGACTCATAGCCCAGTGCTTTCTGTTACATTCCTGCAGGAGAGGCTTTAGTCAGCAGGGATCCATCCTCAGGAACGTTCTGTCTTTGCAGAAGGACTGAGGAGGGTGACACAGCTAGAGGAAAAAAAACCAGCCCACGGGGAGAGGAGGGGGGGTCCATAAACAGACCTCACAAGGCCCAGGGTTGTTACTCCATACAGATTTACCAAGGGTGCCTTTTGCTGGGAGGACAGAAAATAGTATACCAAGTTCCTGTCATCAGGGAAGTCCTATTTGAGAGGAGCATAGAAGTCTAACATGCATGAAGAGAGCACCTCAGAGCAGCCTGTTAGGGGCTCAGATGCATCTCAGTGCGCAGGAGGGCTCCAGAACGGGTGGAGGTGGGGACCAGTCTTCTGGATGAGGAGAAAAGCTTTTCCTGGAGAGACGGGGAGGCAGAACTTCACTGAGACTAGGAGAAGAAAGATCCCCCTCCAGGCTTGAGGGGAATCCCAAACCAATGGCGCAAACAGGCAGTGGCCTGTGCATAGGGGGTTGGGAAGCTGTGGGAAATACATTTGCGCAGGAGCTAATCTTAGCAGATTTGGAGCTCTGAGCAGTCATGGAGTGAGTGTGGGGCCATGCTTCACTTTCTCAAGGAAGTAGCTTGATGAAAGCTGGGCTTCCGGAAGATAAGCCTGGCGTGTTTTGGGGGGCCTCCCAGAAGGCCTTCTCCAGGCCTTGCAGCAGTTGCTCAGGTGTGAAATGAAGTCCTGGACGCAGGTAGTGGCAGTGGGGATTTCGAGCTTCTGTGGTGCTTGTTGGTGATAGGTGATAGATCTGGGTTACTCTCTCAGTTGAACACAAAGTATAGCTTTATAGTGATTTTTCTAGGCATGTCTAGGTGGAGCCCTCAAGATAACTGGAAAGCCTGAGTGTCTGTATTTTATTTTGTAAGGTGTTTTGAAATAGATAAGAACCAATTAAGAGAATGCAAATACGAAGTGTCACTGCTTTTACTTCCAAATCTCAAGTGCAAAGTTAAATACCATTTAATTCACTGTTGCCAGTATTGAACTCTGCTTTCCTTTTTTATGTCAAGTTTTTTTCCTTTTGAGAACCCGAACATTGTAGTTTAGCTGAAGGAGGGGAGGGGCGGTCTGGTGGGGAGAATGTAGAGCAAGAAAGCTGAGAGTATCTGTATTGGCTCCTTAAGCCTGACCATCAGCACACAGAGACTTAACTGCATTGTCTTCTCTTTGTCTCCTTAGGAATATAAACAGAAGCTTGCTCGGGTAACCCAGGTCCGCAAGGAACTGAAGTCCCATATTCAGAGCTTGCCAGACCTCTCATTGCTGCCCAACGTCACAGGAGGCTTGGCCCCCCTGCCCTCTGCTGGTGACCTGTTTTCAACTGACTAGGACAGGTGTCATGCCCCAGATTCCCATCTCTACCAGCAGAAAGAAGAGGGCAAGTCATGGTTGGAAATAACCTTGTGGCCCCTGGTTCTGTCCCTCCTTCATCCCGGTCCCGCAGCCTCAAGAAAGAACCACAGACTCTGATTCTCCTCTCCGTCCTCTCTTGTTGAGCACAATTCAGAACAGTGGCGAGTGGAGTCCAGTTTAGATTCAGATGTGGAAGGAATACAAACTCTCCCACTTCATGTTTTATGCCCCTGTCGGTTTTCCATTCTTAGCTCTTTCTTTACACCCAAGAAGTTATGAAAATCATGTGTACTTCTGGAAGCTTTCGGAAGAATCTTGTCGCTTATGACAGCATTGTGTCATGAAAGCAGCTTCTCTTTTTGAGCTGGGCTGTTCAAGTTCAGTACAGGCCTCCACTGAAGGACCCGCTCTGGAGTCATTGACTTTCCGGGCTACCATCCACCCTGAAGGTTGGAGGCACAACCATCACGCAGCTTTGCCATAAAGAGTTTGCCACATCTCATCCTTCCTTTCCCTTACTTCTAGTGGTGTATAGTCAAAGGTGAGGTGAGATGCGTTTGTTTTGTAAGCAGACTAGGGAATCTAGCAATAAGATTCAACGCTGATCTGGAACATAAAGTCACAGTTCAGAAACAAGGGTAACAGGGATCACAAGCATGAGTTAAAAATAAGTTATTTGCTTCAGGTTCCTACAAACAACCTTCCCAGGCACCCACTGTCAGAGAAAACGTTCCTAAAAACCTGATCTCTTGGCCCTAATCGGTTGTGAAGGCAATTGTTAGAAATGGTACTGGCGGACCCCAAAAGCTAAAGGCTTACTAAGAGTCTGGGCTCTGCACAGGTGTTGCTTTTTCGACCCATGTCTTTTGGGGAGCAGGGCTCACACTAACATTTACTTCACTGGGCGCATGTCTACAGTATGGTGAGTAGACTTGAATATCTCCCTTGCGAACACGACACTCTGTGCATGTTTGTCCGTTTACGCCACTGGCCACTGCACGTGTCCTTGTGCCCGGGGGAGGAGGAGTACTCTGATCGGCGGTTACTGAATAGCTCATCTCGGGCAGAGGAAGGGGGGAAGTCAGGGATTTTAATTTTGGGTTTTAATTCCATTATCATGCCAGCTGACATTATGACTATAAAATGTACTTAAGAGAGGATTTTTACCTTGCTTTTAGTGAAGCTTAGGCCTGCTAACTGTAAATCATTCTGATTTGGCAGGCTTATTTTTGACATTGGAAGGGGCAGAAAAAAATTTGCCCCAAGAGTATAATAGGAGTCAGAGCCCAGAGGCTGAAATCCAGAAGCTATAAAAAGGAATTCAGTGAAGGGGGTGGGGGGGGCTTCAGAATCTCCATTATTTTGAGTTGTTATTTTCAGGATTACCAAAAAGCCAATTACTTGTAATTTTACATGTTAAACATGTTGAAACATAGCCTGTGTTTTAAACGTGTGGCAGGCTTTCCTTTAAGAAGCTGTCCGGCCTGCCATGAAGTGAGAACGACGAAAAGTCTAGCAGGTGTTCAGTTTAACTCTGTGTAGAACATAGTAGCGTTTAAGGTGTTTTTCGGATTTGAATATGGACCGTGTGTTGTTTGCTTATTGACACTGCCTGTTGTCCTGTCATTATTAAATTAATGAGTCTCTAACTATAAAGTTTTTCTTCCCAGAGGCCATAGGGCAGTAGGTGACTTTACTAAAATTGCAAGATCAATTCTAGTCTTCGCTGTTTCTGCACATGCGCCCCCTCCCCATATGGTGTGCTGCTTTAGTCCTGTGCGTGAGCTTGCTTTGGAACAGACCCATCTTGGACATTCTCTGTGCTTTCACCGAGGAAGCAAAATTTTACTAGCCATGAATCAAAAGGGTATAGTAGATGTTTGCTCTGATCAGCTAGCTGAAAATGTTATAACATGATGGATTTCACCCACTGCTATGTTTTATCTGATTGAGTTTGACCAGCACTTGGTGCATAATTATTACAGCAAGAGCAAAAAATGAAACTGTAGCAATTATGTAAATGAATGTGTTGGCCTCCTAACACCTGTTACTAGTGGACTTCCTATGAGGAAGTTAGTTTTGGGTTTTTTATTTTGTTTTGTTTTGTTTTTTAATGAAATGCTTTTGTTTTTTAAATCTTAATTCTCCCGTATCCTCCCCAAGTGTGCTTATTACTTCATTTGTTTAATTTAAATGAACCTTTCTTCTCCTTGTATGTATGAGGTGATCTGGTGGGGTGGGGTGGGTGGGTTTTTTTTGTGTTTTTTCTTTATTTAGGGCATCCATAGGCCTCAAAGGACCTTTCCTTTTAGGTCATATTCCTCAGAAAGTCTTCATTCTTCTTTGTTTTGGTTTTTTTCTTAAAGAATATTTTTAAAGCTTAAATTTGTATATTAATTTAGGACTTTATTTAGAAGTATAGGCTGTCATTGGCGGCAGCAGTATATTCTGAAATGTCTCATAGATATATATTTTTGAATAAAGATGGTGTTGTTGAATGACATCGTGTGATATTTCTTTTCCCTGCCTTGTTACAGAACACCCGATGCTTTCTTTGTAAGCAGTGGGTAATTAGTAATCACCAATAGAGATTGTGCTGTCTGCACAGAATCTTGTCCCTTAGGAGTTTTGTGACTGTTAGTGGCCCATAAATACTCGGCACTTACATAGTATTTTCTAGTTCTTTCCAGGGGCTTAATTAGCTTTAATTAGCCAATCCACACAGTGCCCTGGAGAGGTACCTCCATAGTTTTTTCCTCATTGTACAGAAGTGGGAACCGATGGAGAGAGGTTAAATGACTTTTTTCCCCAGTACCACAGTCTCTGACAGATTCAGACCTGGAAGTTCTTTGATTTCAGCGCTTTTGTTCACACTGCTGGGCCTCCAGAGAGAGATTTGATTTTGGCAATCCAGTGAAAGGCATTCTGAACAGTTAAAAAGAAGAAAAATGTGAGATAATCATAAATCCAAGTGGCGTGTCTTTTAAAAACATTTTTGTGGGTTTCCTTTCTCTTTTCCTTTCACTCTCAAGTGAAAGCATATTGGCTGAACATTGTTGGTGAATACTTGAAATAATAGAAAAACAGTTTGAAATACAGCCTTTTGAAGTGACCGGTTTGGAAGGCTGATTTTAACCTTTCCACTGGATAATGGCAATATTTGCCAGAAAAAGTGGGGTTCCCCATCTCAGAATGCAAGAAGGCTGCAGTAGCTGTGGTCCTTCAAGACTAAAGTGCAGCTCAAGGCCAAGTCCAGAATCAGAGGAGTTGGAACTATGCATTGCTGAAGTTCTGCCTTAAAATATAAAGGTTGAATGAGATATGTGAATCTCAGGAGACAGAATCTCCTGTGTCCCCAGGTTTCATGGCCTACTTAATGCCTCCACTCCTACCTATAAATAGTAAGTCCATAATTCCTCGGGTTTAATTAGCACTTCAGGCTACAAAATATGACTACGAGCTCCTGAAAGCTGAAGATGGAACTGCCTAAGAGTTCATGAATCTGTCAAAATGCTTAACTTTTGTGATTAGAGTCGTTAACTCTCTGTGACCTTCCTGGGCCAGGTACTTCCTCTCTGCCTCCGTTTTCTTACCTCTGAAACGTGGTATTGGACTAAATTATTTCTGGGTTCTCTGCCAGCCCTAAAAGCTTATGGTGGTTTTGTTGGTGGGAGAAAAACGCAGGACTGAAGTCTGAGAACGCTGAATGGCAAATCCTAGGTTCCCAGGAACATTTGTTAGATAAGTTAATAATACCACCGTTGTGCTGTATACAGTTACTTTTAAAAAAAAGAGGGGAGCATATATGGAACCCTGGAGATTGTAGTCTACAAGGATCAGAACACAAGATACAGGGCCAGGACTAGGAAGATGGGAGTAAACACTGTTCACTGGGCACAAATTAATCTGCATTTGGTATATTTGAGATCTTTAAGAAAAAGCTATTTTCCAGCCTGGTTTGCTGTCTTATTTTCTGCCAGAATCATTCATCTGGCTAAACTCATTTCTCATCACCACCTCCGTGGGGTTTTTCATTTAAAAATCATTCTTCCACTCTAAGGCACAGTTTCAATTAAGAATCCATTATTCTCCTGTACAGTAGATTGGGATTCACATAGCTTCATGTAGTGTTGAAAGCCTAGTTGGTTCAATTTTTTAGACTCGGAAATAGTTATTTTTCATTAAAATTTCATTTCTACCACTGGTTGGATAAACATTAAAATTAGCAGTACGAATCAGAATTTAATAAATAGGAGGCAGTTGTGGCAAGTGATGACCCGCATCTGATCTCAATGTGATGACCTTAGTTGAGTCCCTTAGCCTTTAGAGACCTTAGCTGCTCCTTAAAGGGAACGATTTGGGCGGGGGGG